GGATTTGGGGAGGGGGAGGAGCCCGGCCCCGACTCACCCTTTTAGAAGGTAAAAAAAAGAAATATATAAAAAAAAAAAAGGGGAAAAAAAAGAAAAATTGATCGATCAAAACGCCTCTGAGTTTATTTTCGGGCGTCTAGAACTCAAATATTTCGCGGGGGCTTACCTCCGGACCCCCTAGGTTAGTATTATCTCGAACGAGCCCACATTCGCGCACCCCCACCTTTTGGACATCCCTGGATTCGTCCCTGCATATTACATTAAATATACTTCATTATAAACTTATTTAAATATCAGTATTAATTTTTTTTTTTGTCTTTCATGGGTGCAGCCCACCTTTATTCTCCTTTTCTCGTTGCTTTTCGTATTTAAACAATGCTTACATGTGCAAAAGCTATTTCAAATACATTTATGATTACAGTATTGATAAACATGGTCAAAAAGATTAAAATCTATATAGCAGATAAATATTTTCCATGTAAAATTACTATTATATAAATATATGTTAACTTATCGTTTTATAAAATTTGCATCTTATATAATTTTTTTAATGTTTATATTACCAATTTTTTGTTATACATTGAATGCACTATGGAGTGAACAGAATAGGTACCGGTATTCTTTACCTAAAGTTAACCTAAAGTTAACAACGTAGCAAAACAAAAAGTAGAATTTGAAATTACCAAAACATTAAAACATAATGATTTATGTGTGACACCTGCAACAAGGGAGACCCCTGTAGTCTGTTCGTTTTACTGATTTACCGGTAAAAAAAATGTTAACAAAGCTTTTTTGGTATCAATTGATGCGCATGGGTGTCCTCTTTAACATGCGAAAACTCCTCTTCAATCCTCTTTGGGAAAAAAGTTATAGTCATTTTAGTGAAGCCCTCCATTTTCAGTTAAAACTTCAATGATTTCTTATAGATTTGATAATATTCTAAGCATACCTACATAATTTGTAGGCTGTCGTAACCAGGAATAGGCCTATTTATTTTATTTATTTACGGTAGTAAAACAAAACAAAAGAGAGTATTAAACTACTTAATTTACAGTAAAATAAATAACAACCAATGTGGCTCATTGGTTCGACCGATCCCCCATTTCGAGCAAGCATCCTCTTAAAAACCAATTCCCTACTTGTATTAAATAAGATGGACATAACGATAAAGGATGAAATCAGCTCCTAATAATATGTAGGCCTAGATCTAAAGGAAATAAATAAATTAATAATCATCTACATTTATACACACGTGCCAGTGGTGGCTCCAAAAATTTGCCGACAGGGAGTCTGAATCAAGGGGTCGACTAGAACCTCGGTCATGGCCCTGGCATAAAATCCCTCTATGGTTTATATGGGAACTGTGCTACTCATCCTGATTCATCTACGCTGGCCCTCCCCATACCTGGATGATGCGACGTTATTTGTCGAACCATGGTCGAACGAATATGGGAGTCTTTCCGACTGCGATGAGGACAGGAAAATGCGCTGTAGTGAGTTTATGAAAACAAAGCTGTTTCTGAGCTTCTTTTGATCTGTTTACTTTTTCAACTCAACGTCAAGTCGTTGTAAATGAATTTGTCGTCTCAGTTTAGTATGCCTATGTGATCTATTTGGATTTGCATTGGTGATACTGGTGGATATGATGTGTAACATTTTTTGAATCTGTGAAATCCTTGCTGATTGGTACTCTTCATTCTTCTTGTAATTAATTTACTCGCATCTGGTAATTGGTAAGCTCACACTGAATCTCAACAACTACTTACAAAACGTCAATTTCGAAAACAAAACAATAAAATATTTAAAATGATCAAGATGAAATTATTTGAATTTTAGTGAATTTAATTTTCTATATTTAAAATAATTTAAAAGTGCAATAAACTATAGACTATGACGTCATATCTTGATTAGCAAGTTGGTTGGATGATTTATAAACGTATAAATTACAACGGCGTATTTAGGACTGCATGGGAGGAGGGGCATAGCGCTAAGAAATACTCGTGTCCCCCTAAAACTCATGGTTAAGTAGTTAAAAATCACTCAAATTACCAACACCCCATTTTACACCCCATTTTGGCACTTCCCCAACCCCATTTCAGGACTCCTAGTGCTTCTGGTGTGATGAATCGTGGCCTCTTTTAGTAATAAAACCAATGACACAGAATTAAAATGAATGGAATGCTATATTTCTCAAATACTGAAGCTACAATGGCTTAAAAACTGTTTTGGTTTCACATATTTAACAATGAACAACGATAATTAAAACAAAATAAACACTACATAATACTGAATATATAAATACCAGTGGTGGCGCCAGTCGGACAGAAAAAAAAAATCATTGTGTAATTTTTACAGAATTTAAACTAAATAAGCCTTTCAGATCCCTAAATTGTCGGAGTTGCCAGGGATTCTTCCTATGGACCCTTGAGTAGTTTCTGGGATGTCCTGGCATGGCCAACATATCCTATGGACAATCGCAAGTGGTTCTGGGATGCCCTGGCCCTACTAACTTATGCTGGTGTTGGAAAAATCAGCCTTCCCATTGGGCACATTGAACCCCTTTTCGGACAAATCCTGGTGCCCCCACTGATAAATACTATCAGTAACAATAAAAAAATAATAACATCTACTTAGTCAAACTGAAATTGTACAACCACATAAAAAGTGGAATGTATAAGTTTTGATATATCTTAACAGTACTTAAATACTGGGATATAATTCTACCAGTTCTACCAAATTGGTTTGTATATTAAATTTTTTTAGAAAGTATACAATCTTGTTTTTTACAGTATTTTGGTGGCAGCATGTGTTTACAAATTTCCCAAATTACCCATGTTCTCACCAGGTGCTTTTCCCCTTACCAGAGCGCTATGGCCCACTGGTTTGTATTGGGAAACAATTAAAGACTGCCTGTCAGGTACAGTTGCATTTTGAAATTACAGTGCTATATACAACTTAAATTACCTTGCTTAAGTGAGAGTGGTATCCAAAAATTATGTCATTACACACCACAAATTGTCAAGTTTGATCTGTAAATGAAACCACTAAAAACTATAGAAAAGAACAATAATAAAGTTTATTTAGTTAAATGTAGTGTAATTTACACACAAGGAGATCAAGTCATCACTTCTCTTGATTCGACTTCATTTACTGGCTGCTGCATCTAGCATATTAATGTTAGCTACATGACATGGGCCTAATCATGGACCTATTATTAAGATGGTCTGATTATCCAATCAGAGCCCATTTAGGGACTTTCACTAATCAGGCAAACACCCTTCTATTCTAATAAGCTGTACGATTTTCTTTACAATATACAGTAATGCATTATACCATTGTGGAAAATGTTTTTGAATAAAGGCTCCTTTTTATTTGTACAAGGTTAGAGCACATATGCTTATACAGTATCTATAAACATAAATTACCTACTAAATTAAAGATTATCTGTCATTACTACATAACAAATTGTCAAGTTTTATCTGTAAATGAACCACTACAATGCACAGAACAACAATAACAACTGAAGTTTATGATTTCCCATTAATTGAAAAAAAACCAATCTAAAAAACAAGTTTGATAAATGAATGAAATTTTAAAATATATATTTCAATTTTAATCCCTCAAATATTAAGATCAACTTAATTGCATTGATGCAGCACAAGATGCTAATACTTCAAAATTAAAAATTATCATCTTAAATAAATAACACATTTTAAAGAAAAATCCCTTCATTCAAAATCAACTAGCTTAATTTTACTACATCACTTGATTGGCTTGTAAGAATGAGGAACTAACCAATCAAAAACTGTTTACCAGAATTCAAAATTTTACAAAGGTATGTAGTGCTAGGCTAACATATGCTAAAGCTTAAATTGGCATAAACTATTTAACATTTTACTTTAACATCAGTGGCAACACAAGAAAGTGCACAGTCAATCAACCAAAAACTTACTAGAAGGAAAATACAATTTTGAGTTGAAAATTAAACTGGAATTAAAAAATATTACATATGTACACATGATCGCCGGCAAATTTTGGCAATGCTGATTGGTCGGTCAAATCATGAGGCCTTCCTGATTGTGTTGGGGACAGCTACGCAGCACAACCATCGCAAGGAAAACGATGTAGCGAATTTATGAAAACCACTGTCCACACTATCAAATTTTCTTTGACAAAAAACTGTTGTATGTCCATATAAAATAATGATATGTCCATATATAGTCATGATGTGCCCATATATAGTCATGATGTGCCCATATATAGTCATGATGTGCCCATATATAGTCATGATGTGCCCATATATAGTCATGATGTGCTCATAGTCATGATGTGTCCATATATAGCAAGCCCGTCGCCAGGATTTTGGTAGGGGGGTTCTTTTTGATACTGAAAGAGCACTTGCGAGCACCATTGGTGGGGGTCCAGCATTCTAAGCATTTACAGGTGTTATTTAATTGATTTGAGAGGCCATACATTAAAAAAAATGTATATATTAAAGAGGTAATTTTTTGAGTTGGGAAAAGATTAAAAAAAAAAATACTACTACTTTAGTACTAAAGTATTGGTAATTTAACAACAGTAGCATGATACCAACTCCAAAGAATCCAGTATGGTTTATTCTTAATTTTTTATTTATATAGCACTTTGGAAGTTGTATCATACTACACTCACTTAAGACAATCAATAACTAAAAGAACCGAGACAAATTTGTATGGTTGGTTGTAGCATATTATAATCATATATTATATATATATATATATAGGTGAAACTATCCCCCGTCGGACACCATCCCGGTATTTCTGAGTCAAGGTTTTGGGGCAAGAATTTTTTATGTTACTTAGGTAGGCCTAACAATCGGGTATTAAAATAGGACTTTCAATGATGATAGGCTCTAGGCTAGGCCTAAAGTGCAGGCTAGCCAGCCTTTCTTGAAAGGGCACTTCATGAAAAGGGGGGTTTATTCGAACCCAACGAACCCCCCCTGGCTACGGCCTTGTATAGTCATGATGTGCCCATATATAGTCATGATGTGCCCATATATGGTCATGATGTGCCCATATATAGTCATGATGTGCCCATATATAGTCATGATATGTCTACATATGGTCATGATGCAATGTTATTTTGCTCTCCAAAGCATGTGTCCTCAAAATATTCTTGGCCATCCTACATTTTCTTGCCTTTGGCATGACAATGCACTTTTTATCGATAGAACAAACCTGAACTACTCGAATGTCTAATAATAAAACCTGTGTCCAACTCCGAGAAAATTGTATCGGAATGTCAAAGATGCCCAACAGTCCCAATGAAAGCATATAATCAGGGATAATGTCATGAAATTTGATTATTATACAAAAATGCTGATAAACATTCTGTTTAAAAAAAACCCACGAATATTTAAATGAAAGCACTGAGTGAATGATTTAATTAAATATCTCTGGATCAAATAGCCAGAATGTGTTTATTGTCTATTTTTATAATTCATTTTCTCAAGATGTTGACATAATATTTTCTCTCTGTTATTATGTCTGTAATCGTTTGAAATAGGCATTACATGAAACGTCTGAGCTTTTGGACTGGCCCCTAACCATGGGCTCTGCCCCTAGATCTTACTGGATACCCCACCCCGCTTTTTGGTTCCTGGGAATCAGGGCCACTTTCTGTGGCTCTTATTTTAGTTATATTTTTACTGGTAATAAGGCTTAAGTTCTTTAATGATATCTTCTCTTTCAAGACTGGTTAAGGCATCAATAATCTTTGCAAGATGATTTACTTTAGCTTCCTGTCTACTCCGCCACTTTACCAACATTTCAATACAGGCGTCAACCATTGGTGGTGAAAAGTCAGTTGCAATTTGATTTATTTCAGAGCGTTTCATATTAAGATAGTAGCCCAAATATTTCCAATCATTGTCAAGTCTTTTAGCAATGAACTGAAGGTCAGTATCAGTCAAACAACCTGAGACAGAAAAAAAAAACTGTTAATATTTAATAACAATACTGTATAAGTTACAGGTATTATTTACAACTATATTTTATGTACCTCTGCCAAAGGAGATAAAGCTAAGTTTTCTTAAAATCAAATTCACAGCACAAGGCTGAAATGTAATGATATGTACATTTATAGAAAAAATTACATTAAAATAGAACGAATTAAAATTTTAAAAACTTGTATTACTGTACAATTATCACAATGATTACAACTAAATAATTAAAATTACCAAAATTTTCAGGTCGCTGTTAGCAAGATTATGCAAAAACTAATGAATGAATCATTATAAACTTTAGTGGAATGGTACATTATAGTCAAAGTGATTATTAAATTTTGTGAAGAAAAGGTCAAAAGACAAGGTCAAGGTCACAGAAATTCAATTTTTTTTTGTGGCATAAAAGAAAATAATTGACTGCTCTGTAGGAATATTGTTCGGTATACAAGCACAGGGGGGAAAATGATTGAATTGTCATCATACACAGTCTGTTGTTATTCTTTATTTTTTTATTTTATTCAGGTATAAGAACATAAAAAAGAGTCAGCGGTACAAGACTGAAACGACTGAATTTACAATAAAGAAACAATATACAAACGACACAAAAACACAAATATTATTTTAAAAAAAACAATAACAAATTCACAATTCAATTACAATTAAATTTTAAAAAAGAGAAATATACAATATCAAATTTTATAAAAATAGGATATAAAATATATATATACCAATAAGAATTAAGAAATGGGGATCATATGTACAAAATTGTCAATTCAAATACATTACTAATTATTTTTATAAAAATGATTATTTACAAAATTATTATATTCAGGCATGGAGCGAGGAATGCACTGTATGAAGTAAAAGCTCTAATAATCACTGTTATAAACAATAACAAAAACAAAACACTTTTATTGAAATAACAATATTAATGTTACTGTATTAATATCACCATCTCTATCATATCGTATGCTAATTCCAAGAGCAATTATGAATTACTGACCATTGTGTTCCTGTTTTGTATGGTGTAATCTTCCACAAGGATGATCTGTACTTGCTTCCACATGGGATGATTGATCCTCTGATGTTTGTGAGCCAAAGACCTTGTTAGCAAGCTCTGTGAGTCCCTGATCCTTCAAAGCGTTGCACATTATCTCAACTTGGTTTGTCTCATAGTTCTGTTGTTTTCTCCATTCTGTCAGCATTTCCATTATGCGGTCGAACAATCGTCTGTTATCACTCCAAATTTGTTGAATCTTGTTCCAACTGAGACCTAGCCTGAGGCCCAGTTGTTTCCATTCAAGTCCCATGCCTTCGGCAATAGCAGATAGGTGCATATCATCCACATAACCTAGATTTCCATCTGAAGCAAAGATAAGAGTATGCCTGGTGAAATGAAAATAATGAGAGACAGATTTACTCAGAATATCTAGAACAGTGGCTCAAACACCAACCTGGCTGCGCTTTCTCTGCATTCCTGACATCTGAGGTTTCCATTGAAGGACCTGTAACCAATAAATTAATAAAAGATCAGATATAGTATCCAAGAATGTTAGGATTAGGACCAAATTGTACAGTTTTAATATCCTATTAATACTAAATGACACTCAAGCACTGAGTGTTAAAAGTGAATTAAAATTAACAATAAAATAAGTATATTTTAAAAGAAAAACACCAACCTGGTTGCGCTGTCTCTAAATTGCTGACACTTGCAGATTCCACTGAAGGACCTGTAACCAATATATTATTAACAGATCAAATATAGTATCTACGAATGTTAGGATTAGGACCAAATTATAGAGTTTTATTATTGTTTTAATACAAAATGACTTTCAACCTTAAATTTTAAAGTGGTTTAACATTAACAATAACATAAGATGATCTACTCTATCACTAAAGCTGGGAGCAACTTGAGGGTCTTCATTTTTCCTGCTTACATTCTGTGCAATCTCATTGAAATGTCGAGACAATAAAGTAGCATTTTTTCTCATAAACATTTTTTACACTTGATTTACCTAAAGCTTAAATTTAAAATTAATTACTTTTACTTGTCATGCAAATCTTCAAGTAATATTTAAATTATATTCTTAATTTTTACACACAGTATATTTTCACACATAGAGTAACGAAAGTTTAATTTTTTTACACTTTTAAATGTCATCCAAACCTTCAAGAAATATTTTTGAGAAATATTATAATGAAATGTTAATATTAAAGCAGTTGTTTCTGAATAGATTCAGGATAGTTCATGCGTTAGTTTCTCTTCTCTATTTAACAGTCTGTAAGTGCTTTGAGACAATTTTTAATTGTGTAAGGTGCTATGCATGTCCATTTCCACAACGATAGCTGGTAAATTTCGGTCTTCCATAAAAATACTGATCAATGGTTGGCAAATTCCTAAGTCCATCTTTGAACCCTTTAATTTCTTTCTAGCACCTAAAATAATTAGATTCATCCCCATAAAGAAAAGTATCGGGAAATCCTGCAGTGCTAAATCTAATCTTAACACCTCCAAAGTAACTTTAAATCATGCTATTTATGTGGGCAGGAATTAAATAATGCACTAATGCTGCTTAAAGTCAACTTGAACTTGTATAGTATTTAATAGTAGTACTGTATAAGTAATTAAGGGTATTATTGCCAACTACATTTGTTTTCTCCGCCACTTTCTTCGTCCTTCTCTACTTCAAAACTCTGTTAATGTTTCCTGTTTTAAGAATAATTAAATTAAGCATTTTATTTCATTTTATGTTTCTGGTTAGTTTCTGTGTATTTAGTTCTGATTGTTCTTGTGTATTTCATTTTATATGAAGGATAGGGAGCAAATATTGTTCAGGCTTTTGCCCATTCCCTATCCGGGCTATGCATGATGTTTTTCTCCTATATGCTTTTTGCCAAATAAATATTATTATTATGTATTCTCTGCTGTCTGCAAAATTAGGCAAAAACTAAGGATGGATCATCATAAAAATTATGGGAATGGTACATAATATTCAAAAAGATACAATGAAATACGCCGTTCGTAGCGTAAAAGGAGAGCAATGCCCAGTCATGCCCTTTGCCTGCCAAACTCTAAATCTAGGATGCTAGACAGGAGCTTCATCCACTTTTCGGTCCAAATTGGAACTCTATTCTACATAGTGTAATGGGAAATATGGGGGAACTTCCAAGTACAGGGCACACAAACACTTACTCCAAACTCCAAATATAAAAATAAAAAGGGAAAAATAACAAAAAAAACAACAATTTTCTTTTTATTTATATACTTAGATTTTTTAACTTTTTGTTGCAGCTAACCATTGGTTGCCACATCGGGTGCATTTTCGCAACCGGCGTGACCACTTTCTGCTAGTCCACTCTATACAAAAAATTTAAAACAATTAAATCATCACCATTAGATGAAGAAAATGTCAAAGGGCAAGGTCAATGAAATTCAATTTTTTAACACAAGCATAAAAGAAAAACATGGCCCACCATATATGGTCTGCTTAGGCATATCGTTCAGTATTCAGGCAATGGGCAAAGGCATGAACTACCTGAAGTGACTGCTCTAGTATTACTGTTCACTGTTATAATAATAATAATAATAATAATAATAATAATAATAATAATAATAATAATAATAATAATAATAATGTTATATTTATATAGCACATATTGCACATTGCCCCTATGTACTTTACAAAGAAATAACATAGGGCTACAGAGAAAATTCAAATAACAATAAAATAAAATAATAATTATAATAACAATAATCACAATGAGACTAAACTACTCCTATTCCTTAAACTAATTAATGGTTGGCAGTTGACTCCGAGGAGCTCATCCGCCCTTTGTCCAGCTATTGGTTTTTCTTGCTGCTGGGTGACCATAAACACCCTCCCCTCAGCAGCCATTAAGACACATCTGAGAGGGTTGTCAGTTTAGTCACTGACGCTTCGACAGGATGGAGTTTAATATCATACCCAGGATGTCCCTAACTACCTTAGGCAGAAATAAAACAGTTTTATAATGATAATACCAGTATTACTCCTACTTTGCGCATTTTTGGTGTATACTGGAAGTTTAATTTTTTTTCACACTTTTAAATGTCATGAAAACCTTCAAGACATATTTTGGAGAAATATTAATAATCAAATGTTAATATTAAAGCAATTGTTTCTGATTAGTTTCAAGACAAATCATGGGTTAGGTCTCTTAATATTCTTTAAGTGCTATCATGTCCATTTCCACAACAATACCTGGTAAGGAAGGGTTTCCTGTTAGTATTTTCTTATTCCTGAACATCCTTTGTAGTTTGCCTGTCATCATCAATTTCTGTCCGCATGGGATAAAATCTTTTTCCAGACACTCGTCCAAATTGTGGAAGTGAGTTTTTTTCGAGTCTTGCCAGCACAGGACACGGAATGCATATCCTGTGTGCTTCATTCCAATTGTCAACACTTTCATCTCTTGCTTCAGAAACTCCAACACCTTAATAAAAATTGTAACAATTTATTTAAAATAAAAGGAAAAACAGTACAAACATTTATAAAAACACACTTAAAATTATATTGTCCCATGCAAAATACTAAAACAATCATGAAAATTATTTTTGAAATTGGAGTAACATAAAAATGATTAACTTGAACATAATGTAGAGATAATGTTTAAAAAAAATTAACCATATATTTACCGCGAAAACGTACTGTGTTTTAATTATTTTATTAACACTATGAAGTTTAAAAATCACATTTTTAAAAATTCAATAATTTCTATGCTCCAGTTAATAAATTAGAGCAAAATGAGCAAAATTATTTTTTATGATTTGTTGTCACTTTTGAGGAACAATACATCTTTAAAGAAAAAAAAAACAAACTTAGAACCATTTAAAGCTTATAATTCTCACAATTGATTAATCTAATTATAATTATACTTTCTCTCATTTACATATCGTGTAATCATACAAGTAAGTCTATATTAACTTTAATTGTTTGTTTCAAAGACCTGTTTCCAAAGATCTAATGTGGAAAGCGGGTTTTTTTTTTTTAAAGCTTTTTTTAAAATATGTTTTATAAAAACATTCTTATGGTTGAATTGACCATAATACCATGAATAAAGAACACTGATAGAACTTGTATTTCAGTCAAGTCATCGTCTTATATAAAATCCTTAAACATCCAGAATTTACATTTGCTGGAAGGAAATCCCAAAGTATGCAATAAGCAGGTCAACTAGATTGATTTGTATTATTTTGCTTTATTGTGGTATGTGATGATTTCACCTTTTTAATACACTACATAGATATCTCTGAGAACTAAAAAATACCGTACTTAGTTTTAAAAGGTCCGTTAGTAAACTAAACAAGGTTACACTTGGGCGGATGCAGAGGGAGTGTAAATGGTGCGATCGCACCCCCCTAAATTGTATTCCAAAAAAAATTACTGTATTGTATTGTTATATTACTTTCATCATTATGAACATTGTACTAGTAAGATTTTAAAAGTATGAGAGAACAACTTCCGGCCACCTAAAGGTCCATATTTTCAAACCTGAGCCCAAACCAAGGTGGGACTGAGGTGATGTGGACACTAATGAATCCCAATCGCCAAATCCTAAATCTGCCCCGGTTACATTTCTATTTTTTTTTTTTTTTAAATATGTTTCTACCTTTTTATGCAAGAACATTTACTAATGTGCACAGATGTTTGAGACAAACAATCTTTAACATTACATAATGTGTTAATTATACTATATTTTCTACTTTTCTATTGTATTGCAAAATGTAAAATGTAATCCGAGTCCCAAAACCTTGACTCAGAAATACCAGGTTAGTGTCCGGTGTGGGTTAATTGTTTAACAAATTGTAGTTAAGTGAATATAGTTAAGCTCAACCTTGTACAGTACTAACTCCAAGACTTAGAAATACCCACACGATAGTTTAAGGCCTATTTAAAGCGGCTAGATGAGTCTGATCCATTAGGCGTAGCTCACAATTAAATTATTATAATTATTACTGTAATAATATATCTAATATCTGAAGGCCCATCATAATATGTATATTTAACTTGTGTAGTTGAAAGACTATGTTTTTGATAAGTAATCGTAAGTAAGTTCGGTTGGTATAAGTTTTCTTGGATAAGGACTTAAAATGGAGGTCCAGCGTGCACCATCTGGGTTGTGTGCACTTTCAAGAACCCAGTTCATCTTTTGGAAGAGTAGGGGGTTATTTTACCCCATTGCTACGGTTCATTTTAGCCCTGTCTTAGTGAAATGGTGTGAATATATAGCTACTATAAGCATATCTTTCCGGCAGCTTGGTAGTCACAAACCACTCCCATATGCAATTCAGCACAATGATGCTGCGATTATTCTTCTACCTTTACCTTATAACCAAATAATAAATGCTTATTTATAGTGATGATTAAACATATCATTACTTACTGTTTGTCTTATTTTTACCCTTCTGTAATACCTACTGTAATTTTGTTCCCTTTCCAATCAATATTTGTTAATTTTTTAAAATTTCATTTGAATTTTTGTTCTTTGTACAGTCGACCTTCCCACTTACGTACACTTTGGGCTGAAAGCAGTTCGTAATTGAGAAAATTCGTAAGAATAGCGCCTTCAAGTTTAAAAATGCAAAGTTGTAGCCTATATCTAGGCCTGCTTATCAACATCTAGGCTTAATTTTGCATTTAAGTCTTCAATAAACATTTATAGAAATCATTGAAGAATCAATTAATGTTAATTCAAGACAAAATAATATCGATTCATAATAGGCTAAGGAAATTGTTTCATGGATAGACCGACCTAATCTTCCTTCCATGTAACAGCTAGGCTAACTGTTCAACATACAGTAACCCAGTGTGGTGGTGGTACATGGTTTAGCTGGGCCTAGCAGCAGCTCTCTGCTAACTTTAGTTAGGCCTCTCTCCGTAATTTGTAGCAAATTAGTAAACAAACATTGATATTAATTTGTATTAAAAGCACTGGGCTTATTATTTAATTTAGTCAAGGTATTTTTGTATAATTTAAAAAAAGAAACTGTTCCTATTTTTATCGACCTTCCAGATTTCAAACATGTGGTTTTGGTACCTGTAGCATTGAATGATGGGTAATTGCTGATGTCATCTTCTAAAAATAGAGCAGCTTGCAAATCGTTTTTTGACAGTGAAAAACAAATAATACAGACGCTTATTGAATATCAGAACAGTGATTTATTCTTAACAGGATAAAATGTTGATGTTACTATACATTTATACTCGGACTATCTGATTCGATTAACAGTGCATTTAGACAGATTTTAACCATAAGACAGAGTATGATAGGCACATACATATGATAGGCCAAACGTTCGTAAAATAAAATGTTCGTAAATGAGAAGTTCGTAAATGGGAAGGTCGACTATGTAAAATTGTTACTTGATTATATTATGTATTATGTATGACGCACCACGTACAGGTGTTTGCCAATAAATACTGAAATAATGACTTTGTGTAATTTTACAGTTCATAATATAGTTTCGAGATTTAATTGTTAAAAGATATTACCTGCATACAAACTCTTGGAGTTGGTTCACCTGTTGATGTAGTTGTACCATCCTCATGAACAACAGACATTCGTAATATTTCCAGCTAAAATTCAAATAGAGAATCTATAAATTAATACTTATATAGAAATCTATTTAAATACATCAGTATCTGATTTTTCATTTTTATTTTACAACACTGATTTTGTCAGGCAGTTCACATATGCTCCATAAACTATGTTTTAATAACAGAGGGAGTGAAGTTGATGTTAGTAATGGAAATTTGATAATTATTTTATTTCTCTCAAAGATTATGTTACTGAATTTTTTAAAAAGGAAGTGGTGTAGCCACAAGTTTTATGCCATACAATACAAATTGACATTTGTCTTGTATATTTATATTTATGTATTTATATGTTTTAACAATGTAACTAACCAATACCCAGAAAATTGCTTTTGTATGATAATTAAAATATATCTTGAATCTTGAAAATAAAAATAAGGTGTAACATTAAAATAATTTTTTATTCTAAAAAACAATATTTAATCATAATCCATCAGTCATTTAATATTATAACTTCACCGGGTATCACTTCAATTATGACTGAAAAATGACATCAAACAACATTTTACCTTCAATGAGGGCTTGTTATCAATGACTACCGGTCCCAAGCTGAGAGTGTGATGACATCCTAGACAGATGTTTGCATAGTTGCTAAATAACTCTAATTTAGCCGTGTAGCCCATGTCTTGTACCATTCCAATCAAACTGACAACTAGAGGATGGAAGATACTATCAGGGATGAAATCCTCGGAAGCCATATAGATAGAAACCATCTGATCTGAGTCTGACTTAATAGCCATATTGTCTGTGCTACGTTTCAGTCGACAGGGTACAAAAAATGACCGATGTGTACTCTCCTCATTCTACAATATAAACATGAAAGAAAAATGGGAAAACATATGCAATTATGTTTATACCCATTTTTGAATAGTCAAACATACTGCAATATATGACATGCAAGGTAAACTAAGATGAAACTTGTGAAAAAATATATAAATCATGTGTTGTCATTGCAACACATTCAGTGAATTCAATACAGTACCTTGATCTGCTCGCACAGCAGTCCAAACTGCTTCATTAGTTCTAAGAAGAACTCAAAGCAAGTTTCGTCTTTGCTAATCTCATCTCTCCAAAGATGTCTGACTAACTCTTCCTCCAAGATTCCTTCCTCATCAAGTTTATTCCAATGCTCAATCATCAAAGGCCACTGAAAAGTAATGATGACTTTAAACATGTTATTATGGGATCATTATTCTTTTATATAAGAGTACTTATACCTACACTTTCAAAGGCCAATGGTTGTGCACTTGTATAGCACATATAACATTTGTCTGTATACATTCTCCAAAACAACACAAAAGAAAAAAAAACATAAATAATGGTTGAAACAGAAAAGTGGTAGAAAAGAAAAGCAAACGAAAAGTGATAGAAGAGAAAAGCAACACAAAAGTGACTTGAAAACAAAACAGGGGAGTGAAGGAAAATTAGAGATTGTCAAATAAGAATAATGAGATGGTGCTTA